TATATATACTCAGATTTGCAGACGAATTTCCATATATGAAAACAGGTCTTTATCGACTGATCTGCACGTACCTACAAGTATTCGTATCTAGATTTTCATGTCGTGTTGTATTTTTTCCACTACCACAATTTCTTTCAGAATAGGCTATATTGTTGAGAATCACATAGTTCACGGAAGCGCGTTTGATAAACCAATAGTTAAGGGGTATATTTTTAGGGTTTAACTCATGTGAGTTGTGTACGTTTTGTAGTTAATATTCGTATACGTTTACCCGCGGTAATAGCTTGCGAGTGCAGTGCTCCATAGACTAGTTTGGTTTGCCTGCACGTACTCTCTCGTGCATCACAAGCAGGCCATATTTCACGGTAGTCTACTCGATGTGTCGGTGTGTACTTGTCTTTTTTGCTGATCACATGTCTCGTGGCCAACACAGAACCGCCGCCACAAAGCATGAGCGTAGCCGCACCACTCAGCCGAGATGGGCTAGCCGCAATGGAAGACACTGTCCCAACTACCCCGAATGTCATGGAGCCAAAGCAAGCATCGACCACAGCGCTTGCCGCAGATATCGCCAGCGACACCCCCCCAACCACTGACTCTACTACCATCGGTGAAGAGACGCTACAACCTTCCGAGGCGGCTGCGAGTGTAGTTGATATGTCTGGTAGCGCTGATGCCGAGGCACACAGTAGCGCAGCCGCCCATGTCACGGCGCCCGTTCAGGCTAGCAGCAAGGATCCCATAGCAGAACCCACCGAAAGCAGCGAGCCGGTTGTTGCCGACAACGAACTCTCGAGCAAGACGTCGCGAAACGAAACGGAGACACCCGAGGACGCCAGTGGCGCAAAGAACACGCAGTCGATCGCTTCAGCTACGGACCCCGCGCCAGACACAGCGAACGCTCCCCACAGCGCGGACGCCAACAGCCAGGCTACAGATGCCTCCGCAGCCGAGGTTGAAGAACCCACTTCTCGCACTGCGCACGCCGCCAATCCTGCCGCGCCACACAACAGTACGGCGGCCAGCGCCATACCGCTGTCGTTTAGTAATGGACAAATATCCGAGAACGGCGCAGACTTCGCACGCTCTAACTCTGCGCCGCATCACAACGGCACACCGCACGCATGCGTACAACCACAGTGGAGCGATGGTAGTGGCCAAACGGCCGGAGGCGTGGGCATGCCACCCAATCAAATTCCACAGATTCTCAGCAATCCTTGGAGCACAGGGGGTGACCAGTCCTTTCCACCGAGTGCGGCCAGCTCTAGGCTGCCATCGGCCACACCGCTCAATCGGCAGTACTCTGAGCAGGTATGTAGGTAGTTTTAGATATATGACGCTGTCGTTGTGGACGTACATGTATGTGGTTACTATCTCGAGGGTCTCTAATGGTGGCCTGCGGTAAGTTTCAGACTCGGGATTTAGTATGAAGTTAACAGCACAGAACTCATAGATACTATGTCTACTGCCCACCACTTACACATATATGAGAACAGAAGTATGTCTGTATTGAACGCAGGTACATCACACACGCCTTGATAAATATCGGATAACTCACACGGGCCGAAGATTATCCACTCAAGACGTCGTTCAAGCCACATTACTTGGGCGCATACCAGTTATAGTACGGCATATCAGACGCATCGCACGACACACACCGCACACAATACGCATACACGTGCCACACCAGCAGGTCACGACCCTTTCCAGTTCATTACAATACACACACACACCACGCACACCACACACACCGTGAGATAACTACTAGCCGCACCAGCAGTTCAAGACCCTTCCAAGTTCGCAGGATTGGTACCCCTCGCTAAATGATGTCGCTGTTGCACTCAGTCGTCACTATTTACTTTGTGCTGTGTTATTATCACTGCGCTTTATTGGTCAGGGCGTATATCATTCCATCCCACGGGCGGTGTGTCCATATATTCATCTCTCGAATAGGGTTTAGGGGGGTGGGTTTACGGTTTAAGAGGTACCTGCATAAGCCTGTTGCATGCACAATAAACAACTTACATACTTTCAAGTTGGAACCCTTAGTGTTGGCTTGTAAAACCTACTATATGGCCTAAAAACCACCTAAAAACGCGTACCAACCATGCAGACACACTCACCCGCAACCATCGATATATACCTAACGATACGCGCACGCACAAACTATATATAGCAGACATACTCACACGCACAAGATAATTCAGATAAAAAAATAACAAAGCATACATACACACACCAGGTATACAACACTCCCTCGCTCACACAAATACATATATCACAAACAATACGCACACAAATAGGTACCGGCCGCTGCCGGCGGTACTACCCCCGGCGCTGTGCTGATGACTCAGCCCAGCTTGCCGTTCATGAACAGTCTCGCGGGCATGACCATTTCCGACAGCGCCTTATTTGCTGGTAAAGGAGTGGTCAAATCAGCGTCCAACGGGACACCCTCCGCGACTGGCAGTACCCCGTCTGTTTCAGCTACGCCCACCGATGGTGCCAGTATGCGAGGTAGCGGGAGCCTCGACAGGGGCAGTTCGGTATCGGCGCAGTCTATTCAGGACGTGCAGCGCCTCGCCTTCTACGGGGCGGCGGCGACGGATTCGGCGGTCAATGGCAACGGCGCGTCGCCGCCGGCGTCGGTCGGCCGACGCGCGAGTGGCGTGAGCGATATCAGCGGCGCACCGTCCGAGAGTGGCGCCGAGAGCGCGAGCATCCAGGCCCAGTCGGTGTCCAGTATTGCCAGCACACAGCCGGCGTCCCCGCCGTCCGGTGGCGGTACTGCAGTGCCGGGTGCCAGTCCGAGCAGTCTGACGGATGCTGGGCTCGTGGGTGTGGGTGGGGGTGGGGCTGCGATTATGCCGTCGAGGTCGTTTTCGGAGGGCACGAGCGCCACTGTAGCCGTCGACGGATCGAATGGGTCGCTGTCTTCACAGCAGTCGTATGGAAAGTATGTTGTACGTGGCGGTGCATAGAGCGGTATGGTGCGAGAGCACGGTGTGCATGTTCGTTGGCGAGACCTAGTTTAGGGTTTAGGGTTTAAGGCGGGATATCTCCAGTCGTATTATACATATTTAAGATCTATTAACGTATACGTGCAAATCGGCATACACTTAAATACGTACAAACCTACACAATGTCTCCCGAGAACGAACTCACTGACTGTACCAATACATCTCACCTATCAAATATACAGTGGATACACAGGCTCAGCTCCAGCGCCCAACGAACCGTACGCAATGAACGCGCTAATGTATGCTCGTGGTTTTGGGGCAGCCGGTGGCCCTGACGACCCACGACCACCCCAAGACTATCCACAGCAACATGTGGAGATGCATAAGCAACAGCTGAAGCTGCTACAGCAACAACAGCACATGCATCAGCAGCAGCATATGCCACATTCGCCAATGGCGGCGCCCATGGGCGCGCTGCCCATAGGCGCGCTGCCCAAGGACGCGGCGAATGGGTGGTACGGCGCGCCGGTGAACGTACCTGCTGCTGCAGGGTGTGTCGTGTGGAGCTAGCGCGTGTTGTGTTCTGATGGATAGTGTTAGTATATGTATGCAGCGTGTTCTGGCTGGCGCTAATAGACTTGCTGACAGATTCTGTGCGAAACTGTGGTTGTCCCTTATCAGTAGTAACGGGTCTTTAAAACGGGTCTTTAAACTCCCCAGTATGTCGTTTATTTTGGCCCTAGCATACACATACATACAGTGCGAGAAATGTACCTTCGCACCCAAGACTTGATCTCATACTTAAACGTTTTTATTCCGTACAGCTCTCCCGAAGGCGATGACAAGCACACGAGCGACATCCGATCACAGCCACCTCCGCAATCGCAACCACCAGCCCCCCCCCCACCACAGCCTATCTATTGGAAGGACTCCCATGGCGTCATGTTCAGTGGCCTGGTCGGCGGACAGCCCCAGCCCGGCGGTCCCATACTCAACGCGGCTGGTATGCCGATCAACATGAACAACATGAACTCCATGAACGCCCCCGGCATGCACCACCTGGGCCACCAACACATGATGGGCAATCCGAACGCGTACGACATGACGGCCATGCAGAACATGACCGGCAACGGTGTGGTCGTCAACCCGCAGATGCTGTCGCTGAGTGTGGCCGCAGCCGCGGCGGCCGGGCTCAATGGGTTTAATGTGAACGGCATGGGCGACGGTGTGAACCCAAGCTACGATGCTTTCCTGGCCAGTTACAATGCCAACGCCATGAACGGGTATCAGCAGTTCTTGACTCACCCTAACGGCATGCCCATGCACCCCCATGCTCATGCGCACGCGCACGCGCATGCGCACGCGCACGCGCACGCGCACGCGCAGGCACAAGCACACCAAGTACACGGAGTAGGCGGCGACGAGCGCTTCGCGCACGATCAGAATGTACCAGATATGCGCTACGGCCCGCATATGGGGCGCCGAGACGGCGCGGGAATGCGCGCCCGCACGCCCGCCAGTGGACGCGTGGTGGGGGGTAACCAGTTCAACCACATCGCTGTTCAGAATGGGCATCCAAATCAACATGCGCATGCGCACGCACATGCCCAAGCACAGGCACAGGCAGCGCATGCACACGCACGCGCACAAGCAGCGCATGCACATGCACATGCACATGCGCATGCTCATGCACACGCCCACGCCCACGCCCACGCCCACGCGCAGCATCAGCAGCACGTCGGTGGAGGCAGCGGTCACCATAACAAGAGCAAGCGCGACATGAACGGGCAAGCGATGTCGCACAGGGGTCGTGGGTGGCAGCGCAACGGGCCGCAGAACGGCCTACACGCGCGCGCGCATGCCAACCAGATAGGCATGGGCGTCGATGGAGACGGAAATGCCGAACCCCGCGCGACGCGGAGCCGGCTTCTGGAAGACTTCCGGGCCAATCGCATGGTGGGCGTAGGGGGACTGGGAGATCTGACGGGGTATGTGGTTGAGTTTGCGCGAGATCAGCACGGTTCACGGTTCATCCAGCAGAAGCTGGAGACGGCGACGCCGACGGAGGTGCGCGCGGTATTTGACGAGCTCAAGGGACAGGGGTACGAGCTGGTGACGGACGTGTTTGGTAACTATGTGATTCAGAAGCTGTTCGACTATGGCGACGATACTATCAAGAGCCAACTGGTGGAGGCGTTCAAGGGGAAGGTCGTCAAGCTGTCGTTACAGGTAGGTGTGTGCCGGGGTAGGGGTGGTGGGGGGTGTGTGTGTGTGTGCTTATAAATAACACGCATATATTTGTGTGTGCGTGTCTGTGTTCGCGAGTGCTTCTATGCGCTTATGCATGAGGGGCTGCAAAAGTATATATAAACATGCGTCTGGCGGCACCGCATCAGTGGTGTTTATATAAGGTTTAATCCTAGGTTCGTTCCATGGCTACATTCGCAATGTGTATGAGGCCTCTCGCGGTCAGCTGGGGCTATCCGTTGTCATTTAGTTTATCCGCTCATGACACCAGTCGAGTCTTGAATTGGTCCCAACTATGCCGATATCTCAGGCGTGTTTTTAGTATATGTAAGATGGGAATTCTCGACCTGGCATGGTTGTCATAAATTTCACTATCTCGCCTGAGGAAATTTTCAAAAGGGTTTAAGGCCTGATACGGCTCAATCAAAGGATTTTCTGGAGGGGGGTTTTTTTATGGTTTAGGCTTGATGCGGCTCATCTCGCCGTAGGGGAATTCCTGACCTGATATGGTTTTGTCATGGATTTAACTATCCCATCTGAGGGGATGTATTATCATTTAGGCTTGATACGGCTCACTCACAGGTTCCTCTATGTCGCGAAAGGCAATTCTTGACCTGATATGGCTCAATCATGGGTTTCCGTTGAGTCTTCTTCCCTGCGCGGTGTTGCATCCAAACTATGACTCATATGTTGCTCATAGTCCACGGTTCGGCCGTCTATTTATAGGATCGGTTCGCTATGGTGGCCCCGCACACGATGTCTCTGGCATTTGATACAGATCCATCACACGCACATATTTGCATATGCAGATGTCTGTTGCATTTAAATCCATGCTCACACTATTCTCGGTTGTGCTTTATACTTTTGCGATGTTTCCAACTGGATTGTTGGGTTTTTTTTCCGCTACAACATTCAATTTATATCACACAAGGTGCTCGATGGCGTGATTGAATGCTTCGCTGGCACAAATCCTAATCACCACTCTGTCTGGTATATCTCTCAATTTAAAAAGAAACAAGACAAGACTCGGCATCGCTTTCTTGACCACATGTTGCTACTATAGTGCATGCCTAGCGTCTACATGTCACTCATAGTTCTCTGGTTTGTGTGCGTTGCCACAGATGTATGGCTGCCGCGTCATACAGAAGGCGCTGCGGGCGGTTGACGAGGAAAGCCAAGAAAAACTGGTGCTGGAATTGGAGGGGTCTGTGCTGAGGTGCATCAAGGACCAGAACGGCAACCACGTCATACAGAAGTGCATCGAAACGCTGCCACCGGCACGCTTCGATTTTATCCTGCTCGCCTTCCACAATCAGG